GAGAAAAAGAAATAAGCCATCCTTATCCAAAATCTTTCCCTCTTTAAGTCCCTCAACTTTCAAAATATTCACATTAGGCCCCAAAACACTATTTTCTCACACAAAGGTCCTTAACTTAATGCTAAAATATCACAAAATTTCGGGGTATTACAAAAATAGATTAAACTCTTTTGAATCATGGTTTTAAATCATCATCAAAATAAAAAGAGAACCTAACAATGGTCGTTGGACTTCTTGCATGCAAGATCTAACAAACCACCGCAACTGCCTTTTTTTTTTTCTTGATCATTGCTTTGTTGTTTTTCTTTTTTTTCTTATAAGTCAATCATCTAGTTAGTCAACTATTGGTAAATCGAGATATCTCTTACTACTTGATCTTGCAAGACTTTTTCTGTAGTTGGTGTGGATCCTACCATCATGGGTGTTGGCCCAATGGTCGCAATTCTAGCTACAGTTAAAGCTGCAAGGCTTGAACTCAATGATATTGATATTTTTGAGATAATGGGGTCATATCTATTACATCATTTTGCTTGATTAACCAGTTTGTTTTAAATGAGTTTCAACATTTCAGTTCTCAAACTTCATTGTTCCCTACAAGCATTTGCATCTCAGTTTGTGTATTGCTACAAGAAGCTGGATCTTGATCTAGAAAAGATCAATGTCAATAGAGGTGCAATGGCAATTGGGATCCTTTGGGTGCAACAGGTACTTTTTTATGCTACAAATGTAAATAATGTATCTCATTATTTGTTTCCATTGAAATTATTTAGCCAAATGGGAAGAGAACATGGTTTTCTTTGAATCATTCCCATTAGTGTGGGGTTGAGTTGATTGGAGAATAAAGAGAGAATGTGTGATCTCTTGCATCACTTGATATATTGCAACCTTTTTCTACATTCGAAGAAGTTTATGAATCTACAGATATGAAAGTTGTATCATTTATTTTGTATTTTTTCACAAGTTTAACTTGAAAATAGTAAATATGTGGTTCATAAAGAAATTATTTTTAACCATCAGTGATGGTTTTTTTAATTCTTTTTCATTAAATTTGAAATATTTATATTTATTATTAAATATTTTCTATATAGCCTATTTATATTCTGTTACATTCCAATATTTAGTCTAATGCATTTTACTATTTATTGTTTTATATTTCCAATGTGTTGAAATTCTACATTCATTTGCTGATTTCTAATTCTGTAGATTTATTTTCCCAATTCTTCTTAATGATCTATCCAATAAATATTGGTCATTTGAAGGGTCTATTCTCCATGGATATAATGTTATACCAATCTTTGTTTTTTTGGTATCACAAAAAGAATATAGATTCTATTGGTTAAGATGTTTGATTTTATTAAAATGAAAAATATGTGGTGCATGAAAAAATTATTTTTAACCATCAGGTGATGGTTTTTTTTGTTTTTTTGTTTTTTTTTTGGTTACTTATTTGTTAAATTCAAATATTCATATTTACTATTGAATTTTTTCTATATAGCCTATTTATAGTCTGTTAAATTCCAATATTTAATCTGATGCATTCTACTATTTTTTGTTTTATATTTCCAATGCATTAAAAATTTACATTCATCTGCTGATTTTTATTCTAATTCTGCAGACTTTATTTTTCCAATTCTTTTTGATAATCTATCCAATAATATTGGTCACTTGAAGGGTCTCTTCTACATGCATATACAAAGCTATACTTGTCCTTTTTTGTTTTTTTTCTTAGTATCAGAGAAAGAATATATAGATTCTAATGGCTAAAATATCTAATCTTATTAAAGATCTTAATCCTTCTAAAGACCAATTGAGGATAAAGCTTAGAGTAAGTAGGCTTTGGAAGCAAAAGAATTTTCGGAAGCAAAAGAATTTTCGATAGCCAAAATTGGGTGATAATACTGAAATGCTTCTTTTGGATGAACAGGTAAGAATTTTGTGTTTTTGAATTTGGTTTTTCATTAAGTATTCTAAAGTTTGCTTTTCAAGGTCTCTTACTTCTAGCACTTTTTCATGTTCTGTTCAAGGGGGAGGATTCAAGCAACTCTTATGATTTCTTTGCATTTTAAGGATGCTTTTACTAAAGGAGGAGTTTATACAATTTCGAATTTTGGTGTTTCTTTGAATAAAGATCCTTATAAGCCAACCACACATAAATACAAGATTGTTTTTAATCTTAGAACTGCTCACAATTTGCTTAGTGATTCCAACATCCCTTATCATGCATTTTCTTTCATTGAGTTTGATAAGATTTTAAACCAAACTCAAGAAAATGCTTTTTTAGTTGGTATATTTATTATAGAATAATTTCATTATACTTTTATTTGTTTTAATTTATTTAATTGAACTATTGGTCTAATTTGGTTTCTACATTAAGTGATTTACTCTTTTGCAGATGTTATTAGGTTGTTGTTAGTGGTAATTAAGTGGAAGGAAGTGACAAAAAATGGTTCTCCACTGAATATGATTTCATTTGAACTTGATGATTTAAGGTATTTTTTATTTGAATATTTCTGTTTTTTTTATTAATTTCCCATTATCTTTCTTTCAATTTATTTATTTTTAATAAGTTTTGTTGTACACTTTGGGGAAATTTTGTCGTTGAAATGTGTTTGGCTATTGATAAAAACCCCAATAATCTGTTATCTTCATCATTCAAGTTGCAAAGATGAAATCATGGAGAGGTTTTACTCTACTTTTTTAATTATCAATTTTAGTATTTTCTTTAGATTTTATTTTTAAAGTTTTATACAATTTTTTTGGTGGTTTATTGAGGTGTGATAGGGATTTCCAACACCATGTTCAATACTAAGATCTTTATAAATAACTATGATATTTCTGAAGTTCCGGCATTTAAGGAAAGGTAATGTTACTGTTTTTAATATATTTTTTTATTTTTTGTTATGCATCAACATTTTTATTTTTACTTAAGTTTAATATTTATAGGATTGTTGTTTTAACTTACCTTGGAATTTTTCTCTTAATTCTGTCAGGAATAGGGATTTGTTTGGTTAAGCATTGAATTTGATTTCTAGATGGTTTATTGTTTAGCTTGTCAATAGTCAGAAGATTTAATTTGATGCAAGTATTGAAGTTGTTTGAATTGGTGATTAATTTTTCCTTAATTTTATTAACTTGATTAGTGCATTTTATATTCGTACTTGTAATTCAGGTTAGTTTAACTTATTTAGGTAGATTTTGATGGTTGATTCATTTATGTGTTTGTCTTCTATTTTTTCAATAAATTCTATTGTTTCTTGGATTTTTTTGTGCATTAAGGCCTCAATATTTGTTGGCTTAGTTTGCAAATATTTTTCAAATTATGTTACTCTATTTTTAATGAATATAATCCCTTGGCATGTTAGCCAAATTCATGTTTACAATTTTTGTTTGCGGTTTTGCCTTTCTTGGGCCATGTATTAGGCTAGATATTGTTTCCACATTTACATTCTGGTTGGTTTAAGAGGGCTTGTATGTATATGGATGGTGATAGTTAGTTCATGATTCTCTTTTCTTAATGTTGAGTCAAGATTTCTTGAATTGGTGAGTTAAGAAGGCAGGGGAAGGCATATGTCTTATTGCTCAACCCAAAAAGGTTTTAGTATGAGGAATTTCATGGAAAAGAGTGGTACTGGGTGGTAATGTGGAAAAAGCTTTGTTTTTTAAGAGGGAAGATAGATGCAAACTTGTAAGTTTTTTTTTTTTTTTTGGAAGTTTATTGGTGGTTTATTGGTGATTTTTGAATATTTATTGAATTTTGTTATGCTATTCATCCCAATGTTATTGTTTTTAGTAGTTTTTCATTTTTTTGTTATGTATCAACATTTTTATTTTTACTTAAGTTTAATATTTATAGGATTCCTACTGGTGAAAGGGTTCACATTGAAAAGCTGACCACGGTAGGCTCTGGCACATTGTCACTTGGTGATGAAGTTTTTCATTCTACCTTAAGAAAAACTACCGTGGAAATTAAGGAGTGTAAAGTAGTAATTCTTATGTTGTTTTCCTCATTTTTATTTATAGGTATTATATTTTATTATTTCTTATCTACTTATTGTGTTATATATTTTCATTTGTAGGTTATGACTTGTTTGACTCTTGCTGAGATTATTTTGATTGCATCTATATATAACTAGTTCTACAAATCTTGCTATAATTGTACAAATAGTGTTGAGCAAGACTTTGGAATATGGTATTGCAGAAAATGTGACAATGGAGGTCAAATCCTAGATTGAGGTTTGTGATTTAAAATTCATAGATTTTTTTTTTCACAAACATAGAAAAAAATATTAAGTTTTGATTAACTTATGGTTTTAATTATTTGATACTAATTCCATTGTTTTTTGTTATAAAGGTACTGCATTCCAGTCCACGTAGTTGATGGAACTGATGCTGCATTCGTCATTCATTTTGATTTTGCTGCAAAGGAATTTCTTAATATATCTGCTTCTGATTTACGTGACCTACACTGCAAGAGGGTAATTTTCTTTGTCACCTTCAATATTTATTTTTTTGTGTATGATTTAATCTTTGTATATGATATTTTTGATAATATAATTAATTTTAATTATATAAGGGTGGCCAACCAGAAACTTATCCTGTTGAGCTTGATGCTCTAAAGAATAAGAAAATGATTTTTAGGTTGAGTATCAAACATAATAGGTTAAATCCTCATTTTGATCCCTGAACTATTGTACAGACCCCCGATTTGGTCCTTGAACTAAAGAAATCCTTGATTTGGTCCCTAAACTATTATACGGACCCCGATTTGGTCCCCACTGTTTATAATTTGGCCTAATTTGGTCCTTGAACTATTGTATGGACCCCCAATTTGGTCCTTACTGTTTACAATTTCGCCCCAATTTGGTCCTTACTGTTTACAATTTCGCCCCAATTTGGTCCCTGAGCTATTATTTAACAGAAGGACCAAGTTAGGGCTAAATTGGTAAACAGTATGGACTAAATTGGGGATTCGTATAATAGTTTAGGGACTAACTTGAGGTCCGTGCAATAGTTTAAGGATCAAATTAGGGATTTCTTTAGTTCAGGGACCAAATCGGAGGTTCGTACAATAGTTCAGGGACCAAAATAGGGGTTTAACCAACATAATAATATTAACAGTTTTGAAGAAAGCGTCTATAATGTTGGGAAGATTTTCTTTAATGAAAAGATTATTGATAGCATTTTACAAAAAAATTGGACATGTATGTTTGCCTATATTTATTAGATTTTTATTCTTAAATTAAGTTCAAATCTTTTGAAATTTTTGTTTATAACTTAATCATGTAAGAATCCTCTAAAATTCAAAACTTTTGTGTGACAAGAATGCAAGTATTTCAATGAAAGAATATATTGATGGGGTGAGTTTCACTACTAGAAAAATGACGTATACGGACTGAACATATACGGACCGAATAGTGTCGGTCCAAAAAAATAAATATTCGAACCAATATTGATCTGAATATATTCAGGTGGGGCAAAATATACTACTAAACATAATTGGATCGGTATCGGTCCGTATATTTCTGGCGGTAATCCACAATATAAAAGCACCAATAATATTCAGATCGAAAACGGTCCAAATATTATTTTAGAAAAAAATAAATATTAAATAACAAAAAATATGAATAAAATATTATTTAAATAAATATATACGGACCGGCTTCGGTTTGTATATATACATTAAAAAATAGGAAATTTCATTTTTATATTCGGACTGATTTCGGTCCGTACATTTATTATTTTTTGTAATAAATAAAGATTAAATAATAAAAATTTGCGCCAAGGAATATATGGACCGAAATCGGTCCGTATATATTAATTTATTATACGGATCGGGATCGATCCGTATATATTAATTTATTATATGGATTGGGATCAGTCCGTATATATGTATCCGAACTGATTCCGATCTGAAAATTTGCGCCAAGGAATCTTTGAATTGATTGGA